AGAGCAGGCTGATAGCTCTGGGGTGGGGGTTGGTGGGTAGCAGGATTGAGCAAAAAGAAAAAGAATCCATGCACACAGACAACACTGAAGTGATGGCATGGAAGGGAGTGGAGTGAATGGAGGTGGAAGAGGGTATAAGGGCATATATGGTAATGGAAAAAACACAAAAAGAAACCTATTAAAAAGTGGTAATAAATTTTATTTTATTTTTTTTAATTTTATTTTAATTTATTTTTTCAAATACATTTGTCTCTGCCTCCCCCCCACCACTTTCCCTTGCCCCCTCTCTCCTTCCCTCCCTCAGCTCTTCCCCTTTGGTTTTGTCCATGAGTCCTTGCTATATGTTCCTTGACTTTCCCCTTCCCTTCCTTTTCCCCACACCCCCTCCCTCCCTCCCTCTTCTCTCTGTTGATTTCTTTTCCTTTCAGTGTTGCTGGTCTTAAAAGTGGTAATAATTTTTTAAAAATAGAATATCTTGACTGAACTCATTTGAAGGGTCACTCTAAGGAGTGATTTATATCTATAGCTGAGAATCTGACACCTGGTGTTCTACCAATTTTTCTGTAACATTAAAGTCAACTAGTTTTAGCTATGTTTGAGTGTTAATGGTACATGATGTTAATATTTTATATTTTTGTAATAAAATCTTTAAAAGATAGCAGTGTTTTTTTTTTCTCTTTTCCAGTAACATGGAGTAGTTTGTTGTGGATCAAACCTTCCCTTAAGAATTAGAAATGCTGGACAATAGATAAAACCATCAGTTTGAAATATTAGGGAACTACAAGGCCATCAAGGGCTTTGAGGGGTCTTGATTCCTCGGAGAGGGTGCACTGGATAAATTTAAAAACCACTTTAAATATTCTAGGTCTGTAACTGGCGAAACTAGGACTTGGCTACATGGTGCCTTGAAATGTGACCCAGCAGTTAGTGTTGAAGGAAACAAGTTTTTATTTACAGGATTCCAACCACGAGGATCTGAGTGCATTCCTGCTCAGAGCTCTCCTTTCCCCCAAGATCCAGTACTTCCCCTGCTCTCTAAAAGGCTATAAGCCAAAACCATGGCCAGAATTTCCCCATATCCTTATCTGTTCTTAAGCCAGTTATGCAAACAGGTCTCCGTTCCTTCCGGAATGTGCACTTGTGGGTTTCAAAATCACCATCATCTCACAGCAGTTCTCTCCTTCAGGATCTGGGGTACATTGCTCTCAGCCTTCATGTAGTGGTTTAGGGAAAACATGTGCCGTGTTACGCTAGATCATGTTGGAGTTGAGGGAAGCACATAGCCCAAGACTGTGGCTTCTCTGTACGTCTTTCTGAGGAGCAGAAGTTTGAGACTCAGTGTTCTTGGTCACAGTTCAGTTCAGCTCCAAGCATCTCCCATGAATCCATGGCTAGGTAGGCAGGTCCCACACGGCTCTTGTCAGCTCTCTCTTTACATCCTTACCTCCTGTGTGATTTCTTCCTTCTCTCTTTCAGATCTTATGGTAGAATCCCTCACACCAGACCACATGACCTCTTTCCTTACTATCCCAGGCCACCTGGTGGAATCTGCTTTTTCCTTCCTACCTCCAGGCTGCATGGAGGAATCCCCTTCTCTTTCAGCCCACCTTTATTTTTAAATGCTTGGCCTAGAACTTCCTATGTGACCTCATATCCAGCCCCTCCCATGATGTGCTACTTTTGTCAGTTCCCTCTTATCTTTTACATTTTTGGGCTGCCATCTTTAATCAGAGCAAGAGTTCTCAGTGACGCATCTGGGTCCTGCCACTTGTGCAGGTGCTATATAAGCTCCCCTGACTATGTTATGGGCCCCTGAATGCTCTGAAAGTCATGTACACCTTTTGCTGGTGGTGGCAGCACAGCTATTAACTTACCATGGTTATGCAAAGTATCTTAAATGCTGTATTATCCATTTTCCCTTCTCCCAACTAACGTTTGTGGGGAATATGCTCTGCTATTTTTAGGGACCCCGACTCTGTACCCCATTACTGGTCCTATCTCCCAGATCCTCAAACTTACCACTGATATGAGCTTATTACCATTTCATCAATAAGTTTAGCTGCAACCTGAGCTTCTCCCAAGGTAAATGGTAATCTCCAGCATGGACTCAATTGTACGTGATGTAGTATGAATCACAGCAGCTATGGCACCAGGCCCCATTGTAACCACTGAGGATCTGACTTCTATCAGTTCTGGAGTTGGATGAAGCATCATGCTGCAGGGTATAGGATGCTGTTAACCTAGTAGATATGAAGAGGCCAGTTGAAAATCTGGAAATGCATAGACATTAATGTCTTGTAAGGTAAATTTTGACCAATTAAATTTATATCAGGAGGGAGTCTTTGCATACATTTCTCTTTCTTCTTCTAATACACTATTTTAAGACATTGTGTTTATATACAGTGACCTGTGTCTCCTGAGGAAGTTGTGGTCATCTGCGGTAACACACTAGTTTGTATTTGCTTCTCCTTTTATGCCCTCTTCTCTTTTTTCTTTACTATTTCAAGTTATATTTCCAGTAAATAACCTATACCTTAGGGTTTCTTTTCTGAGAAATGTAAGCTAAGACAGAATGGAAGTCTAGAAAAGTAAACTCAATTTGGCTCTATTTTCTCCTTTTGGGAATTTGTCTGTTTGTAAGTAGAAGTCAAGAGGCTGAGCAGCTAAGCAGAGTTTCCAGCCCCCTTACAATGCTGGTGGGCAAAAACTGGATTTCAGGCCTACCAAGAAGGAGAGCTCTGGCAAGCACTCCACTTTCAACTTGTAACTCTAGACATCTTCTCAAAAATAAGGAAGACTGGCATCAAATCAATCAAATCTTTGATTGAATAAAAATTAATCTTCCTTTTATCTAATTGCCAAACAAAAATGGATTCTCTCTTGAAGATAACATTTTTTAGAGTCTTAAAATATCTCTATAATTTACCTTATATATTGTGTAGTTGCCAATAAAAAATTACTAGGCATACCAGAAGATGACTGCATAGGCATAGGACTGGAAAGCAAGGACTGTGGCTGAACTAACCCTTGTGGTTCTTATTGCAAAATACACACTAGCAACAACCATCAGGGAACCTTGAAAAGACAAGGTTTATTACTCACAGGTCCTGGAGGGTACAGGGCATATTCATGGCCTCACAACAAAGTCACCAGCAGAGAGAGAGAGAGAGAGAGAGAGAGAGAGAGAGAGAATGGACCAGGGGTTCTGCCTTTATTAGGGTTGAAGGTGAGGCACCTAGGGTTTTCTGGGTTCACTCTTTATTGGTGAATTTAAACATAGGAACTGAAATTAAAGTGTGGGACAGGAAAAGCAAGGTCACTTGAAAGGTCAGTGATTAAATCAACCAGGGCTTCCTGAAAGGGGAACTTTATGGGTGGGGCAGCCTGGATCTTTTCCAGTTGTATGGCTGGCAACACATTTATCCAACAGGGATGTCTTTGAAGTGGATGCCTTAGCAATCAAAATCTTAATCTCAGGCACTTACATTACAATAAAAAAGGATAATTGTCGGGTACTGAAACTACAATGATTCTCAAAATAGCCATAATAGGACTGATGCTGGATATCTCAACAAAGCAAGTAAGCCACAAACATCAAAAAAGCAACCAATGTCAGAGCTAGAAAAAAAATAACTGCATATTCAGAAAATATCTGTCTGACGTATAAGTGAAATAGAGGAAATTAAAAGAAGCTAGTTGTGGTTATGATAGAGGGTAAAATGGGTATGTATTGAAGGCCTTGTACCTATAAGTATGTTTTCCTTTTCTTCTTCACCATAACCTGACAGAAAAAAAAATACTCAATATCTCCATTTTACAAAATAGCAAGACTGAGAGAGAGTAAGCAATTTGTCCAAGATCTCACAGCTTGTTTTTCTGTCTCCACAGCTTTTGTTTTCTACACTATATTTTGTCCATGTAAGAAACGTCCAAATCTGTAGGAATGTTTGAGCTTATCTGAGCCATGGGGAGAGTAGGACCTGAAGCTGTGTTCAGAGGATGCACAGTACAGTGTGGCAGGTAGCATGTGCTTATCTGAAGGGTGACACCACCCTCTCAGAGAGTGAAGTAGAACACATGCCTATTAGAGCTGATGCGTATAACATGTGCCTAAATGTCACAGGTGGGCACAGGTAACCAGGCTCTTGGTGACTGCAGACAGAAAAATGAGAGCACACAGAGTTTATAGCAGAAAGCAAGAGAAAGCAGATTTATTAAGCTATACAGAACATGGGAGCAGGCCAGCTCTGAGCGGAGCAGAGAAGAGCAGAGCAGAGCCTAATAGCCCCGACCTCAGGGGCTAGGGAGCTTTTATTCCTGTAGGGTGGGTCTCCCATGATTTCCTTGATTGGCTACTGGGAAGGATGTCCCATAATGCTAATTTATTATAATGATATTATAATGAAGTAGGGGTCAGGTAGCATCTTCTGCACTGGTGCATTCCTGATTTACTAGGATTCAGTACTTTTCCAGAAAACAGGAATAACCAGTGTTAGAACAGAGTCTCCGCCCTTTATCTTAGCCCTGGGGCACCTCTGGAGTTTCTTCCTTCCTGATTATCTCCTGCTTCTTAGTGGGACTGGGGAAAACAATAGGTGTTTATCCAAATTAAGGAAAACGTGTATAGGAGAAATTGTGCAAAATCAACACGACTTTGCAACTAAAAAAGCATAAAAGCAGAGAACTTCAGACCATGGGAGACACATCCAGAGAGCAAGTCACTTTGAGACATCCTGCACGTTCGGCCTTGGGAGAGAAAGACATTGTGTTTCTGTCGCTCTGACTGCCCTGCAGGACTCCAGCTGCCCAGCCCTGTTGCCTCCCAGACCCAGATTTGATCTGTACTCTTGGGACTCGGGTTCATTATCCCCCAATTCTCTTGTGATATGTTATTACTGATTGTTTCTGAATATTATTGTTATTAGTTTAGTATAGATTGAGATTGAATCGGCATGAATAAGAGCTGGGTGAATAGCATAGTCCCCTGTGTTGGCCCACTGTTATTCTCCAGTGCCGATGTCATCTGTAGGGCTGGTGGTAGTATAGGCAGCCCAGTGCTGTCGGTTCTTAAGGCCTGGGTCAGACAATGCAAACGGGGACCAAAGGCTGACTTATAGGAAAGACTCTATCAAGAAACACACTCATGGCAAGCCAAACTGACGACAGTTACTGGGAAGCAAAATCTCAACAGATTGAGAAACGCTTCAGAGAATGGCAGTTTTGCACCTTATTTTATACATTAGAATGAAAGAGGGAGACTTAAGAGGGTTACATGAACTCGCTGGTGATAGATTAGGGAGGGAAGAAAAAGCAAAGTGGGGAAATCTCTGGGATTGAAGAAAATGTCAAACAAACAGACACATACTTCTTTTACATAGAGGGGTTAATACGATAACAATAACAAGGAGGGGTTCTGCGGTCTCCTACTCTGGTGCAGTGATTGTGCTCTGAGGGGTCTGGGAATGGACTTACCTTGACATTCCAGAGATATGTTATCATAGATGCAAAAAGAAAATAGGTTCAGTTAAGGTAAAGACTGACCTTTGTTAAGGAAGATACTGGCCTAGGACATGACTACCCAACATGACTCCCCTTTAGTTAGAAAGTTTTTAATTTTGGACCATCCTCTGTGGTTACTCTAGGTCACTGACTTTGTAAGGCCACCGTGCAGGCCTCCCTGACTGTGTCAGGTTTGGTGTGTGGCCTGTTTTTCATCCAAAACTTACCGTATTTTGCCACATATAACCACATATAATGCATACCCATGTTTTTGTGCACATTATACACAGGATTATTATACCCATTATTATATATCCAAGACATATAATCATTATACCCATGTAAAATGTACATCCTTATTTTCCCCTCAAAATTTAGACAAAAAGGTATGCATTATACATGGCAAAATATGGGGTGTATCATCTCTTGTATTTTGTTTCAGAGTTCAGAAATTTCCTGGTCAGAGGGTATCTCATTTGAATAACCTAGATGGTGAATATAATCATGTAAACACACTAAAAAAAAAGGATAATTTATTTCACACAAATCTGTCGCTGGTTTTCAGATAATTCCTTGAGAATGCAACTTCTCAAGGTAACAGAAAAGTTAATAAAACTTCTCCATAGTGAGCCTGGGAGTATGTGCTGGAGCTGAAAGAGTTGAATGCAACTGAAGTAGAAAAGTAATCAACCTGATTCATTCAAAGTAAAATGTAGCTTTTTCAAATTTTAATTTTTCTACATCAATCCAACCTGTTCTCTCCACACACATCTATCAAGGTTGGAAGAAAATCCAGTTTTTATCTGGCAGAAAATTAAACTATATTCATGGAGTAAGTGGGTGGGGCCTGTTCTATTTCAGGGTTCTATAACAAATTTTGGGGCTTATTGGAAATCTGAGATGGACCTCTGAGCTTGGTTTTCATTGTCACTGTCAAAATGTTCATTGTCCAAACGGAGCTGTATATGCACACCAGACTTCACAGCCAGGAACCCCACTGCCCCTCGACCATGCCGGCGCCCCCCGTGTGAGAACTGGGTAGCCCCAGCACTTGTGGACCCTTTCCCACCGCTTCCCTCCCTCAAGTCCAGCCACTCCACTCTTTTTCGGCCCTGACCTTTTCTGACAGTTCAGCTTCTAGACACCATGTTAGAATTTTTGAAAACAAAGCCTTTATCTTTTTTGTAAGCTTTCATATACTTTTTATAATTTTATTTTTCAACTAAAGTTTACATTAATATTATTTTATATTTGTTTCAGGTGTAAACCATAATGGTTAGACAACCATACACTTTACAAAGTGTTTCCTCCGATATACCCAGTACCCACCTGGCACCATGCATAGTTATTACAATATTATTGACTATATTCCCTATGCTGTACTTTACACCCCCTTGACTATTTCTGACTACCAATTTGTACTTTTTAATTCCCTTTACCTTTTTCATCCAGCTCTCCTACAGCATCCCCACCCATGTCCCGCCCTGCTCTGACAACCATCAGTCTGCTCTCTGTATCTATTTTATTTGTTTGTTTGTTTGTTTTGTTCTTCAGATTCCATATATAAGTGAAAACATGGATTTTTCTTTCTTTGACTGACTTATTTAACTTAGCATAATAAGTCCATCCATGCTGTTGCAAATGGTAAGATTTTATTCTTTTCTATGACCAAGTAGTATTCCATTGTGTAAAGTACCACAGCTTGTTTATCCACTCGTCTATTGATGGGCAATTGGGTTGCTTCTCATCTTGGCTATTATAGATAACACTGCAATGAACATAGGGATGCCTATGTTCTTTCAAATTAGTGTTTTGGGATGCTTTGAATATATACACAAAAGTGGAACTTCTAAGTCATAGGCAGTTCCATTTTTAATTTTTTGAGGAAATTCCATACTGCTTCTCACCATGGCTGCACCAGTCTGCATTCCCACCAACTGTGCATGAAAGTTCCCTTTTCTCCACCTCCTTGCCAACACTTGTTTGTTGACTTATTGATAATAGCCATTCTGACAAAAGTCTTTAACTTTTTTCCTGGAAAAAGTGAAGCTTGGGCTCTCAATATCCAAAACCTTGCGAACTCTCTGAAGAACAGGAAAAAAATGTTTCAGGGTCCATATCTAAGAAACAGGCACATACACAGACACATACGCCCAGTTACAGGAATGCGGTTAGAAGAACCTGAGGGATTTATAACCAAAATGCTTTGGGCAGCACCTTGGGAACAGCTCAAAACTGTTTGGGACACAATTTAAGCAGGTATGTATGGATAGGAGTGTGGAAATTTCCAGCAAATAGGTTGGTGGTAAGGCAGAAGTTTAACTTTGTCCTATAGTCACAGGCTTGTGTGTCTGGGTGTTTCCCCAAGGAACAAGATCACCCTTTTAAAAGCTGGGGCTGGGGAAATGCAGAGCCATGTGCTCGGGTTGGGGATGGTCTTTTGGCAGGGCAGGTCATCAGCACTAGAGGCAGATCAGTGGCAGAGGTGCTGCAGGTGCAGAACAGCCCTGTGGGCGTGCACGCACGCACCCGGAGGTGGAGAAGGTGGCGGACTCCCTTCTGTTCTGGAATGGAACATGGCCTGAGTGGTGGTGCAAGAATGGTCCTAGAAAAGGGGGGTGGGGTGGCATTGAGATCATTCCTCAGGAGTCATGTGTGCTCTTCATTGGTTTTCTCAGGGTTGGTGTGGTCTGAGAAATAGGGCTGGTGTGTAGTTGGGTTAATGCTAATATAACAGGATTAATAATTACTATAATTACACCAGTGAGTGAACCTCACCAACATTTCAGCTCTTGTGTGCTAAGTGTTTTTTATTCATCACGTCAGTTACCAAACTATATTAACCCAACTTTACAGGTGAGATAACTGGGGCAAGTAAGCCTCAGAGTAGTTAATAATTAGCAGAACGGGGATTCAAATCCAAGACTAACCCCAAAGGCTTTGTGTTTACTGTTATTCCTCATTCATTCTTATGAACAGAGCCAATGCCATTCCCTTCTTCTTACCAAATGCATTAGAGACTGCGGGCCCTGGAAGTGACATTAGAGATGCTGGATTTAAACTTTCAAGGACCAGTTGGTAGAGAATGCAAATCCTAAATGAGTTGGGAAATAAAGATGTAATTTACTGCCAGCAATGGATTTGGATTTTTAAAAAATCCTCTAAAACTGCCTGCATATCCATTTGGACATTAGGCAGAAATGATGTTTGTTGCATGGGTGTAGTGGCAACAATTTTTCAGTAATTCTAAAACAAATTAAAATGTGACTCCTCTTTCTTTGTTTCAGGCAATTAGATCTGCTGATCTCTTGCTTCATCTTTAAAACCAAAATGGAAAGTTTTAGTAATCATAGAATATAAGCACTCTATAAATGTATTTAAAACCATTGAATTATACACTTTAAACAACTGTTTTATGTAAATTATATCTCACTAAACTGTTAAAAATAAAAGTATACTTTCATATTGAAGTCATTCATATCTCTACATAGCTTCTTCAGTCATACAGTATATACATGCATTGACTTTAGTCATAATTACTTATGTTTGTTTGTACTTAAGTTACTTTTGAATTTACTTTTCTCCAATCATGTATTTGTTGTTAACGGTTTGTACAGATTATTTCATATCATTTGTTTTTGCTCAGTCAGCCACTGTGCAGCTGTTGCACAGGTAGATTGTTTCCAGAGCTTTGCCCTTACAAATGCTACTGTTTTACAAAGGTATTTACATAAGTTCCCAATAGTGGAGGGGTGGCGGGAGGGGGGGGTGCGGGGGGCGGGGGGGGGGAAGCTATGACTCTTTAGGTTCTTGTTATTTGTTGCTTGAAAGTGCACTATTTTAAATGCCAATGACATCTTGGAGTTTACAAATACCTTGCAGGTTTTTCCAACCTCTTCCTTGATTGATGTGGCTAATACTCTATAATTTTGGAAAAGTTCAGCTAGTATTGCTTATTTTCCCCCGTATACAAAGAAGTCTTCTGCAAGTAACTATTTTAAAGATAAAGTATTTCTAAGTCTTGTTTGAGCTAAAATGAAACACATTTTTTGTTTGTTTCTATTTTTTTATTTTTTTAAAAATTAATTAATTTATTTTTCCAAATACATTTGTCTCTGCCTTCCCCCCACCACTTTCTCCTGCCTCCTCCTCCCTCTCCCTCCCTCAATCCTTCTCCACTTTGGCTTTGTCCATGAGTCCTTGCTATTTGTTCCTTGATTTGCCCCTTCCCTTCCTTTCCCCTCTCCACCCCTCCCTCCTTCCCTCTTATCTCTGTTGGTTTCTTTTTCTTTCAGTGTGGCTGGTCTTATTTTCCTTGCATCTTTGTTTTGTTGGTTAGGTTCCACTTATAGGTGAGATCATATGGTATTTGTTATAACCTTTCTTGTATTTAAAAATAATAAAAATAATTAAATACTTCCTTTTTCTTTCTTACTGCTTCCCCCACCCCATGTAGTACAGTTCCCTCTTTCTTTGTTGTGATAAAGATGTTTATAGCATCTCCAAGCAACTAAGACAATTCTGAAGACTTTAAAAACAAGCATTCCAGTTTCCACACTGCGTTGAATGTTGGTA